GATTGGGACATTTACAGGGTGGTGTTCTTTAATTTTTTTTTTTTATTCAATTGCAAGACAACACCACCCTGTCACTGCCACACTGTATTTTTCGTCTATCTCTAGGCCGGATCGTTGGGGACTGGTCGAGGGCTGACATTTTCGATGCAAGTAAATGTCCACTGCTGTCCAGTCTAACTTTATTCAGTTAAGTACTAGTCCTTAACGGAAAATTGACCGCCTTATTGCTGCAGGGCTAGAGCAGCTCATTAAACCCAACTATAGTTATTATAATGCATCGTACAGTTTCATAAGTAGAAACACTATCAGCTGATTGCCAGAAATTGCCTACAGCTGAGATCACCTGTTTTTTGGCATGTGCTCTTATCTTTTACAATTTATTTCATTTTTATTACAATTTCTTTTATTTCTATTACAATTTATTCAAAATACACTAACACACTGAACCAAAAACACCAATACACTAACCAAATACACACCTACCCAGCAAATATTTGGAGTCATAAATGAGTCTTTAAGGAGTCCCATTTCGGAGCCTTTGTGCTCATTATGAGCTCATTTAAGAGTCCGAAATGAGGGTGTTTCCCTTCCTGCGAAGGTCGACCTATATGAGCTTAAATTCATACATCAAATGAGCCTCAATATGAGTCATATTGGACTCTTTTTGGCCTCATATACGGCTCATTTTGGACTCTTTTTGAAGCTCTTAAATGACTCTTATTGGCCTCATAAATGCCTACTTTCGGAGCTCCTTGTATGCTGTTCTGTGACTCCTATTGGCTTTATTCTTCAACTCTCTTAATGAACTTACTTTAGAGCCATGTTAGCAAGGAATTCATTTCAAATACTGTTGGATATTTATATACAAACCTCTGCGCATACATATATACATATGTTCATTTATTGCAGCATTCATGTAATAGCGTTGCTGCAGCTAAATTTTGTTTATTTTTCCTTCCTAATTATTTTTCATATCTGTATAAACAAGTTTAGATATAAATTTCTAGTCGTTATTGTTTTTATACTGGCACAAAGTGCTGGCTCATAACTTGGATCATATATGACTCCTAAAAGATTCATATAAAAGTAAAAAAAATTTTTGTTTTTGAAACTCATATTTCTTACTTACCTATGACTCCTTTCCGACTCATATATTCTGAGCGCTCAGAATATGTTTGCGGGGTAGAGCCTGCCAAACACACACCTACAGCCTGCCAGAAAAAAACGGTAAGAAGAAGAGTTACTGTACTTATGGAACTGTACGATGTTATAATGATTGCTCAAGTATCGGATGCGATTTTTAGATGATTGTAATATATTATCGATAGAACAGTTTGATACCTATGCTATGTTAAAAGATTTGATTTATTGTACGTATTCCTAAAATAAGCTGTCCAGTCAAATTAAATTCAGTTAAGTATTAGTCCTTAATGGAAAATTGGCCGCCTTATTGCTGCAGGGCTAGAGCAGCTCATTAAACACAACTATAGTTATTATAATTAGTCTATTCCTTTGAACTTCGGACTAAAACCTGTGGAACTGTCAAACTACAATTTTACTCTCTCAAATGAGAGTAAGAGGAGAACAGATGCAGAAGTGCATAGGAACGCAAAAAGCACTATTTCCTGTAAAAACGTCAGTCGGTTTGTTTACATGTGATTTGTACAACACTGATTTAGCTGAAATATCACTAAATAATTATTAAAATCTATACATATTCAAACATTTCGTTGTTTACTTCCATTTTTTTACAAATATAAGGTACTCTGCTTTCACCGCTGTTTATTCTTGCTTGCACATGCAAATCAGCTGATCGTTTGACACTTTTCATGAACTTACAGGAAAAAAAACTCCGGACTAAATCCTGTAACTTCTGACTAGGAACCATCGCTCAGTTACTCTCTCAAATGTGTTCCCACTTACAGGTTTTATGTCAATAGGAACGACTTCCTGTAAGTTCTGACTAAATCCTGTAAACCGGACTGCTATTGGAACAGACTTAAGGGCCGGTTGTTCAATGTCTGGTTATCACTTCCACTACACTATCGACGATTTCGACATGTTGCATGTAACGACAGCTGTTGTACTTAACCGGAGGTTCTACCTCCGATTTGTGCTAATTAGACATTGAACAACCGGCCCTAAAAAGCTGAAGCACAACACCGGCGAACGGCAATTTTTCGTCGCGAATGTTCGCCGAAATAATTAAAACACACTGATTTATATGAGAACGCGCACAATCAAAGCAAACGACGAAGTTTGCTCGACGACTGTTCGCGACGATAGATTTATTTCTATCGCCGCGGTCAACGGCAACGACAAAAAAAGGCCATGATGACCATACTTTAAAAGTTATCGTAATTTTTGTTTAAAAGTAGAATAATACACCTTATATTTTTCCATCAGAGATTAGTTTACTAGTAGTTATATTTAAAGACTATTTCTATATTTTAAACTTCTTCTTGCTGGTATTTTCCCTCTTCGTTGTAAAAGCTTCCTTCTTGAAACATGGTCACCTTATCAGCTGACAGCATTCAAACCGCTCGATACCGCTCAAGGCGCATCAATTACAGGTGATAGCGATAGAAGCTATGCTTCTTCTTATGAGCACGCTTGTGTCAAATTATCGTCTGTTTTGCTTTATTTACATATCCGCGTATACATACACATATACCATGATTCAATAATACAAGGTTCGATAAATTGACAGTTGTCTCTCTCGCACCGCTCCCTTAGCAGTGGCACCGTGTTGCTTCTTTGCAAATTTACATGGAACCAGTGTAGCTTTGGTGTGAAATAAAAGTATAAGCTTTTGTGCAATATGTTTATTTGTATATGCATATGAAGCATATTTAACTGATGAAAACATAAGCATTGGATGTTTATATCAATCTCATAGTAGTCTTATTTTAATTTTGAGTCATTTTGCAGTTTTTATACAGCTAAATAGCATATAAATTACGTAATTCACGTAGATATATAAATATTACGTTCAACATTTCGTTTAAAATGCCAGATTTCCTGCAAATAATTTAGAATTTACAAAAGGAATTTCACTACTAATTGCCTACTTTGCGTACTTTTCTACTACCATTTTCGCAACAAGGGATTGCATTCTTGCCCTTTCTCTGTCCTTCGCAAATGCAACCTTTTGTAAGGGAGTGTCAAACCGCAGCTGTCAATAATTACCTAACCTTGTATTATTGAATCATGCACATATACGTAAATATATACCCTGCAAACAAATGCTCCCGAAATCTTTAAGAGTTTCGGAAATTCGTTACGATTCTTTTAGAGTAAACTTACGTTTTACTAGATTAATCTCTGATAGAAAAATATAAGGTATATTATTTTACTTTTAAACAAAAATTACGATAACTTTTAAAGTATGGTCATCATGGCCTTTTTTTTTGTCGTTGCCGTTGACCGCGGCGATAGAAATAAATCTATCGTCGCGAACAGTCGTCGAGCAAACTTCGTCGTTTGCTTTGGTTGTGCGCGTGTTCATATAAATCAGTGTGTTTTAATTATCTCGGCGAACATTCGCGACAAAAAATTTGCCGTTCACCGGTGTTGTGCTTCAGCTTTAATGTTTGCTCAACAGTGTTGCCAACTTTAATTTTCAAAAAGCACCAAAAACTTGGAAAAAAACGTTTTACCACACTAAAAGCACCAAATGGTTTTGAATCAACTGATGCTTTTTTCATAACAGTTTGTATGAATTTAACAAAAACAAAAATTAACAATATTTGCAAGAATGCATACATTAATCAATAAATAAAACTTTTTCGCTCATAACGATTGAAAAGCCACATGCTATAATGACTCAAGCTTACGACGTAATACCGAAGTACTGCACATTAAAAGTGATATATCTCAAGAAGAAAAAATCTAATCCCAACAAACGAAAATCATGCACTAAGTAGAAATGAGCAAAAAAAAGTTTGTTTTCATTATATTTATAACCTCAAATATCGCCAAAAACCGTGATTTTGGCACTTTGAGGTTAGGATATCTCAAAATTCTAGTGCTAGAGCAATTGTGCGGCCAGATTTGATTCCGCACCAAGGAACGATGTGTTTTACCCAGATGGTACAAAAATAAAAATTTTTACAGCTAATTAGAAAAGAAAAAAAGGAATACTTACTCGCATATCTACTAGCATTTTCAACGCGAATAGAATTGAACAAGGTGAATTTGCAAGTTCAGCCTTTTATCAATCATCGTTGTATTTAAGTGCATTTAAATTTGTAGATTTTTGTAAATTCAGTGCTGCTACAGCTTTAGATATTTAAAAATTATTTCAGGTTTTCACTATATCGGAGTAATTTGAGTTCAGAAAAAAAGCACTAAGAAAGGCACTACCCTGCAGTGAAAAATTATCAATTGTTAAAACTAACCAACTTATAGTTAGCTTTTTGGCGAGATTTCGATTAATACCTCACTTTTAATTAGCTATTTCTGAACTTCGCAGATTCTTTTTCATATTCAGGTCAAATAAAAGGAAGATCGAAATTTTATACTATCATTTTGAAGTTATGTCTGACGGTGTTCGAATATGGGGCCACCCAGAGCAGAATATGTAAACAAATATGAAATGTAATAAAATAAAGTAAATAAATAAGTAAATAAAAAAGTAAAAAAACAAAAAAATCTTTTGTTTTTCTTATTGATATTTTATGTCCAAAAGTAGTTAGTTACGAGTTAGTTGACATGTAATGCAGAGGTATCCAGGTCTGACTTTTTTGCGGCCATCGCCCCACAAAAGTAGTTAGCTTTTTTCGAACAAAATACACAGTTAATAGTTAGCACTAGTGTTCGCGTAAACAGACTAAAGTTAGGTATAAGCTAACGTCACTCCCTGCAGGGTAGGCACCAAATATTTTTTTTTGGCGTTTTAATTTTCAAAAAGCACTAAATCTAGTGCTTAAAGCACAAAGTTGGCAGCTATGTTGCTCAAGTATCGGATGCGATTTTTAGATGATTGTAATATATTATCGATAGAACAGTTTGATACCTATGTTAAAAGATTTGATTTGTTTTTCGTATTCCTAAAATAAGCTAGTTTACGTATCTCTGACTGAAAAATGGCAACATATTATTTCGTTATTATAGGGCACAACGACAATCCTATATTTGAAATGGAGTTTACGACAGTTAATAAGGAAATGCGTGTAAGTAATGCAGAAGTAAAGTATCTTGGTGTATGATGTATATACTTGGACAAATTTTTACAGAAAGAAGACAGTCGACATTTAAGTCAATTTATTGCTCATGCTGCGTTAGATCTAGTGGATGAGCACAAGTGGAGAACAGCCAATATGCAACTCAAATCTATCGACAGATTCAATCAGTGGTTCGTGTCAGCATATGTAACCGCAAGCCAGATTCGGTTCATCATCGTACACGACAACAAAAATGATGACGGCATAAAGAACTTCTTTAATGAAATGCACGAAACCTATATTAAGCATTCCATGAACCCATTTTATAAAATCAATACTCCTATAAAATCACCGATCTTCGAAAAGAAGGCGCAACTCTTCGGGAGAAAGTGTTTACTATCGTTGTAAATTTAATAGTAGATGGGTAATCCGATTTAAGGGAATTTTGTAGAATGCAGGTTTACTTCGGATAACACCTGTAGTATCTGTTAGTTGGAGGCTCGTACAAAAGGGAAGGAAAGGAAGGGAGCGTTGTACCGCCCACCTATCCAGCTCGAAATAGAAGACCAAAGTATTCAGTCGTGCCTCTTCAAAATAAGGAAAATCGTTGATTTTGCTTACAAAATGCCACAAATATTTAAAGTACACCAAATAAAAGGACTTTTTTGCTTGGACCAAAAATGTTGTAACAGAATAGGTACAAATTCCCCAGAAAGTTTTTCGGGAATGATACCCCAGCATCATGCTGTCCTTGGCCAGATATCTGGATCGTTCCCTACCTTCATAGGTTCAACTCCGGCTACGCTTACCACAGTAGTTTTGCGCGAACATATTATGTTTGGTAATTCTCTAGTATAGGGTAACAACCCCTAAAAAAAGGTCCGGAAAAGTCGGGAGGGGTACCAAACGACACGCTTCGGTCCCCTTATTAACAATCCGGAGGGGGAGGGCTAATATTATTAACCATTTAAAAGTTATAAACAAAAAACTTTGTTGAATTTCGTTGTTTTGTATGGGCAATTACCCCGACAAAAATTCACTAAATCACCTGTTCTCACTTTTTAAACACTTAAAATATATAATTTAACTTAATTATTAAACAAAAACATAGTTTTATCAACCTAAGGTAGATTATTTTATTACTAAGGTCGGTGTTATGCAGAAATTTTGTTTGGCAAATTGCGTGCAATTGTTGCAGCAAACTCGGAGAGAGCGAGTTTGGCGACTCTCACAGCAAACTAATTTTGTTTGGTCAAACTGCAGCAAATTCGGTGTTGTCATATACAAAAATTTTAGACAATTGTTGCTATACACAAAAATTGCCGTGATACCGAAAGCCAGAGAACTGAATTTATGCTGTGGGAGCTTCAAAGATTATGGCACAGTTAATTGCCTATACGATATCATAAAAAATATATTAATTGTGCGCGTTATCTACATCTGAAATTCTCATTTCGTGTTGGCAATAGCCATGAAAACCATAATGAACGTGCAACCCTGTGCCAAACTCGACATAACCACCTCCGAGCAAACTAAGCAGCCGCCATTTAATTTGGCAAACAAAAGTTTGTCTGCATAACACCGACCTAAAAAGAAGTTGACAATCTTTTAGTCTGTTCCTTTGAACTTCGGACTAAAACCCGTGGAATTGTCAAACTACAATTTTACTCTCTCAAATGAGAGTAAAAGGAGAACAGATGCAGAAGTGCATAGGAACGCAAAAAGCACTTAGTCTGTTCCAATAGCAGTCCGGTTTACAGGATTTAGTCAGAACTTACAGGAAGTCGTTCCTATTGACATAAAACCTGTAA